TGATCACTAGAGGTTGGGAAGGGGAAAAGATGGTGAATAAAGGGCAAATGGATTTGATACTGCATTCATGTGTTGAAACATCACACTGAAATTGCAATTCTATGTGTAATCAATACATGCTAATCAAAAATAAAATAAAGCCAAGCACGGTCTATAAACTCAGCTACTTGGGAGGCAGGAGGATCACATAAAACTAGGAATACAAGCCCACCCTGGGCAACATAGCAAGACCTTGTTTGAAAAAGAAAGAAGGAAGAAAGAAAAGAAAAGAAGGAAAGAAAGAAGAAAGTAAGTTAAAATTAAGAAAAAAGAAAAATGAAATTCCCCTCAAATCACTATATAAGCAGAAGAAAATAAATCTCTTTAAATTTTCAATTGACAAATTCTAATTGTATATATTTATGGCATACAGTGGGTTGTTTTGAAATATGTATACTTTGTGGAATGATCAAATCAAGATAAGTAACATCTGTGACCTCACATACTTATGTTTTGTGGTGAGAAATCAGAAATTTAGCAGTTTTGAAATATACATTTTTATTAACTACAGTCACCATGATGTACAGTAGAATTCTCAGACTTATTCTAACTGCAATTTGGGGTCCTTTGGCAATATCTTCCAATCCTCCTGACCTTCAGCCTATATAACCACCATACTACTCTCTACCTCTATAAGTTTCATTTTTTTAAAGATCCCACATATAAGTGAAGTCATACAGTATTTGTCTTTATATTCTTAGCTTCTCTCAACATAAAAATGTCACCTAGGTTTGTACAGGCTGCAGCATATGAGAGAATGACCTTCTTTTTTAAGTCTAATGCCTCATTGTGTATATTAACCCGTGTCCACTACCAATGCATCTGTTGTTCATCACTTGGGCTGTATATCTATATATACTGTATCTGTATATCTATATCTTAGCTATTGTGAATAATGTTGTAGTGACTATGTAGTACATATGCCTTTTTGAGACATTAATTTCATTTTCTTTAGATGTATACGTAGAAATGGGCTTCTAGGATCATATGGTAATTTTATTTTTAGTTTTTTAAGGAACCACTGTATTGTTTCCTTACTGGTTGCACTCATTTACACTCCCACCAACATGGATTCTCTTTTCTTCATACCTTTGCCAACACTTGATATCTTTAAAAAATGGCCAGTCAGGTATGAGCTGATAATGACCTCATGGTTCTAATTTGCATTTCCCTGATCATTAATGATATTATGCATTTTTTCATATATCTGTTGGTCACTTGTTTGCCTTCTTTTGAAAAATGTCCGTTCAGATCTGTTTTTAACCTACCTCTGCTACTATAACAAAATATTACAGACTGGGTAATTTATAAAGGACAGAAATTAACCTCTTGCTCTTCTGGAGGCTGGAAATCAAAGGCACTGATGGGTTCACTGTCTGATGAAGACACTGTTCCTGCTTTCCAGAGGGTGCAGTATTGCTGCATTCTCGGGGAGGACAAATACCATCTTCATACAGCTGAAGGTGGAAAGGTTATCAGGGGCCCAGGCCACTTCCCTCTACAGTTCTCTAAGGCACTAATCCATTGCTCAGATTGGAGCCCTTGTGACCTAATCATTTCCACAAAGGCCTCACTACTTAATATTATTGCAGTGGGGATGAAGTTTCAACAGAAATTTTGGAGGGGACACAGTCAAACTATACCAGGGTCCTTTTTATACCCACTTTTTATACAGGGTTATATGTTTTCCTCCTATTAAATTAAGTTCTTGTATGTTTTGGATTTTAGCCCCTTATCTGAAAAAATTGAAGTCTCAAGGGACATATGAAACTTTCCTGTTGGATAAAATTTTGTTATATATTATCAAAAGTCCTACCTATTTAAACCTATCACTTTTAAATTATTACTTCCCAGTTTAAGCAGGTTTCATGAGTTCCTCCCATTTCCTTTCTCTATGCCCTTTTCTTTAAATGTTATCAGATATATTTCTCTGCCTCCTCTGAAATCCCTTCTGTTAATATTGTCTCATTTTGAGGAATGTGTTCATGCATCCCTGAAGAAATGTAAAAACACAGACAACTGGTGGGGGATCCCTATTTTGTCTTTCTTCTAAAAGGATACTACCTAGACTTCCCAAAGTCCAAAGCACACAGAATTTAATCTTATTTGGAAAAAATATATCTGGATCCTAATAATTTTAGTTACAAAAACAAACAAACAAAAAACTTGCTTTCTTAAAATGTAACTATACTGACACAGATCTACTATAAAAAGACAAAACAACCCAGTAAAAAACTTAGTTCCTTGTTCCAGTAGCCAGCTCACAGAAAATTCAGTGAACTTACAAAAAAGTTTTTATCTTTGGTCATATTCTGGGAAATGTAAATTCAAATCCCAGTGGCTTGTCATTTCATAGCCATGAAATTAGCAAAAATTTACAAATGTAATGAAATCAAATTTTGACAAGGATATACAACAGTGGAAAATTTGAAATTTGCTGTGAAAATGTAAGATACAGGCACTTTGGCACACAGTTGAATGTCATCTTAAAAATACATATTCTAAAACCTGGAAATTCCTTCACTTGGTGATTTACTGTAGAAAAGTTCTTACTCATAGTCACTGAGAAATATTGTATGAGAATCTTCATTTTTAACATCATTTGTAATAGCAAAAATAAAAACCCAAACAAAAACCTGAAAACAATGTAAGTATTCTTCAATGGTATTAAAGTATGACCTGTAGTGAGATACTATGCAACAGTTAAAAGGCAGAAAGTAGAGCATATGCCAAGTTAAAATAATTCAAGCATATAAGTCATGTTTATATAAAGTTTAAAATCTGCAGAGCATATTCTTTTTATGGTTACATACCTTTATATAAAAATAGCACAGAAAAAGGATAAACTGAATAGGTATGTACAGAGAGTTTCGGCTTATTTGCAATATTTCATTTCTTAAGCTGGCTATAGATACATGAGTGTTTTTATATATCATTCAGTATAATTTTTGAACATCTAAATATTTTATTTAAAAAAGAAGTAGATCATGTTTTTCTTTTCTTTTTTAATTTTCTAGTCACCAAACATCTTTTGCCAGAAACTCTATTAAGTAATTTACATGTTGTAGTAAATACACAAAGGAAATAAAAACTATTGACCTGGAATGTCTTGGTCAGCTGCAGCTGCCAAAACAAAATACTATAAAAGAGTGACATAAACAGCAGACATTTATTTTCTCACGGTTCTGGAGACTGGAAGTCCCATATCGGAGTGCAGCACAGTCAGTGTCTGATGATAGCTTCGCTTGGGCTGTAGACAGCTGCCCTCTTGCCTTGAATTTACCTGGCCTTTCTTTGGTGCATGCATGCAAGAGATCAAAAATCTCTAGTGTCTTCCAACTAATCCTATTAGATCAGTACTCCCTCCTTAGGACCTCATTTAACCTCAAGTACTTCCTTAGAGGTCTCAGTTTCAAGTACAACTACATGAGGGATTAGAGCTGCAGCATATGAATTTAGGGCACAGACTTCCATCTGTAATATTGTTTGTAGTTGGCTAGGGGAAAATAACAGATGAGTGAGAAATTATATATAAAAGTTCCCTAAAGCATTTTCATTGACTTTCAGCGAAGGATGGGTTTAGCAGTACAGATTCCTTTCTAACACCTCAAAATGTATTTCTCACCTCTCCTCTACCTGTACTTTTCTGAGATTTCTGTAGATTTTTTGTTTTGTTGTAGATGTTATTTGAAAATGAATCTTGTCATCTTTTATTCACATTCTGCCACCCCTCTTGTTTTTTTATTACACTCATGCACTCTACTTTTTATTATTTTTCTCTATTTTGATGGCTTTACACTTGGAATTTTTTTCTTGGTTGGCTTTTAAGTTGTGCACTACTGTAGAAGTCTTTAAGATATCATAAGTGACATACAATTTCTGGATGAATTTTTTAAACTTACAATGGTTGTATGTAATTTAGTGTTTGTAATTCATTTGCTGATAGCCTTGGTTTTTTTTGTACTGGGGATCGAACTTAGGACCTTGAGCTTGTGCAGCATGTGGCAGAACCACTGAGCTAAATCCCCAGCCCTATTTGCTGATAGCCTTTTAAAATTGTTTTCCTCATTCTACAGTAACATTTTTACATTCTAAAATTATGTTGCTGTTGTATAAAAATGTATTTATTACCTGTTTTAATCAGTTCCTTGCATTTCTCCTTTTATTTCTTATTGTATAGATGAAATTTGTGCTCACAAATTTGGATAATTTGCATGTGAATGTGAAATAGTAAGCAGTCAATTTACAAAGGCAAGAGAGTTCCATTGTCTTTGTTTCAGGAATGTTTTAAAGTGCTGTGAGAGGATTTGGTAGCATATCTTTTTAAGGAGCTTATTGCTAAGGTATATAAATGGTGGCCCTAGAATGAAAATCTTTTGACATAGGATCAGTCATGTTCCCTTGGTGCCTGGTTGGTGCCTGTTACTGAAATTCTAGTAATAATTACTTTATGGCTACATTTCAATTGAACCAAATACCTTGGGCCAGTGAAACTGAAGAACAGGAGAACTTCTTGTACCATTGCTCATCTCAAAAAAGGAAAAAGCTATGCAGACAGACACACATTCATTGTGATAGAGAGAAACCAGCAGCATTGATGGTTGGGCATGAATTGGAGAAGCCAAGTTGTATGGCGATCAGGCTAGCACTTAACTGTTCCGCTGGTGACTTGCCTGCCAGGGTTTCTCTTGGGTGTCTGGTGCCAACCCAGTGGAACCTGATAAAGCTTGAAAGCCATTCGGTATTGTGAACAGGGCCTGGTTAGGGAAGCTGGCCTTGATTGCCATCCTGGGAAGGAATTCACCAACAGTGCTATGAGGAAGAATGATGTTAGGAGCAGAGGCACATTAGACTATTTGGATGAATTAAGGTCATTCAACATAAGCAGATTTTAAAAGCACTGTACATTTTTCTTATTGATTTATTTTCTGCTCACTAAATGGTTCAATAATTTCCTGCAGGAGGAACAGCTGAAATCTCATGAAAGCAAGCTGAAGCAGATTACCACTGAACTGGCAGAGCACCGCTCCTATCCCCCAGACAAGAAAGTTAAAGCCAAGGATGTAGATGAATACAAGCTCAAAGATCACTATCTGGAGTTTGAGGTATGTTGAACCTAAACATTAATAAATGCGTATTTATGATTCATCCATAGGGAAAAGGTTGTAAGCAGGTACTGTAAGCATGGGGAGCCTGCCTTGGCCCTGGCTCTGGCTCTAATTTGGGAGCCTCTAGCATGGTATTGATCCTGGTCACACCTTGTGCTTGCGATTCTATTTGAGTGCCAAATAAACATCAAACAGCTTCTGCCCATTTACACACTTGAAAGCAAGTAGCCTGCCTGGTTAGAATAGTGTGCACCTGCTGTGAGGTTCAGAAAAAAAAAGATGAATAACAGAGGGATATGCAACCTGGACAGCTGCTGTCATGTCCCTGGGTCTCCTCCAGCCGGAGTCTGAGTCAAAAACAGGAAATGAGATACAGGACAAGGTGAAGCGTCCGCTTTCCCCACGCATTCTTGCTGTTCAGTGACACCAGTGTGTTTTTCTTCTTAACACTCACTGTCCTTCCCAAGGATATTGATACATTGGCTGGTGGCCCGTTTGTATACTCTAGTTAGTGTGGCTGTAGGAAAGAGCGGTAAGAATCAATGCTATGGTATGAAACAGCAGAAAATTTAAAAGCAAATTGAAAGCAATATAATTCTAAATGGTTCCTTTGACTGCTTCCTCCCAAATTAGTGTCAGGATCTCTCAACTCTTTCTTAGCCACTGCCTTCAGACACTTACAGTGTGCCTCTTAGAAGAAAATGCAGGGGCCATATATTTTTTTCTGTTGGGGGTGCTCAATTTATCTATAGTTATTGTATTCATTGCCGCTCTGTCTCTTATTTCCCCATTCCTCTCCTTCATTCCCATATCATCATCCTTTTTTTCCTGTAGTAACCATACTAACAAAAGACTTGAAAAAACACTAAAAAAAAAAATAGTGACAAAAATCTAAGCAGTTCATCATGTTGCAGGCTTATTCACTCTTAGAAATGGGAATTCTCAGGGGCCGGGAATTTAGCTCAGTGGGTTCGCCGCCTGCTGCGCAAGCGCGAGGACCCGAGTTTGATTCCCGGTACCAAAAAAAAAAAAAAAAAAGAATTGCACTAAACAGAAATGGGAATTCTCAAAAAGCAATCATTATTTATCACACTTCTGGGGTAGATTTAAGACATAGCCTATTTTGTTTTGCACATTCTAATTAAATTTCCCAATACTTCAGGTCCCTGCTTTCAGCACTGAGCAACTTACTTTGAGCCCTGGAGTCTAAGGGGAAAGAGCCTGTCCCCAGGAAGTGGGGGCAACTGCAAGACCAAGGAAAGTTGGCCACTGCTAGCTGCATGCCCCTGCTTTTGACTTTCCTCGATGCCTTTTTTCTAACAGTGTAGACCAGCCAGAGACAGCATTTTCAATTTCTGATGTGAGGTTGACCCAGCTCTGGGGAGTTATCTTGCCTTCATCAAATTATCTCCTCAAGGAGCCTGAAGATTGCATTCCAGAACCCTGGACTTATTAAAATCAGACTCATCATAATATGTTGAGCACATTGTACTGTCTATCAGGCTGCTTTAACCCATATCTACCAGGAAGATAGACGGCACGTCACTTTGTACAGATGTCATCTAAAAAGATTTTTGTAAAAGTAATGTTTTTTGAGAAGTGAGTCATTGGTTATCAAAAACTTAAATGAAAATTGATGTAAGATGTCATATAGAGTCTACCGTGGTGTGATTTCAGCACCGGAACTGGTCTCCTGTGAGTGCTATTGGAGGTCCTTGTGTAGCATCCTTTGCTTTGTAAGCATCCTTCCCTGAGCAGGTCGCTTCCTTCCCTGAAGTGGGGAGGAGAGAGCTACTGGCCCCTTTGTGTAAATGTTCACAGCTCTGTCCCAGATGCTAGAATATTGACTGAGAGCTTGAAATGTATCTGTTGAGCGTCTTAATGAAATTTTATCATTGTGCATGAAAGATAACAGAGGAGGTAGTTCTGTGAGAAAGCTTAGTATTAGTTCTTTTTACTGAGGCAGAAGCTCCCATGAGAGCTGATGGGCAGGTGAGAACAGATGGTGGTGCCTGGGACTCGGTGGGAGCCCTCAGAGGGGCACGGACAGGATGAGGGCACTAACCTGGCCTGTGCCAGAATTTTACCCACAAGGCATTAGATCAGTCTTCTCACCTGCTCCTTGGTAGGTCATCGCCAAGAGACTCCTTTGGTTTCAGAGCGGTTCTTATTTTCACAAGTCTTGGTGAGGAAGAACACTTATTTTGGCAGAATATTATGCTGTTCGTGATACCAGGAATTGTTCCTAAGTTTATACGTTTGTTTATATCACAAGTTGCTTTGAGTGCAAACAATTAATAACAAGCCAGATTCACAGCTCTTACTATGCTGTAGACATTCTCAAAACTCTCACTTATGGTAAATAACTTGAAATTCTGGTAAATACATAGGTTCGAGGTTTAAATACACAGAGAGAAAAGGAAGGCTTCCGTGTTAGCCTATTAGAAAAAGATTCGTTTTTTACTTAAAGTAGAAAATTTCACTCAGACTGGGCTGTAATTGACTAACGCTACACTTCTCTCTTCTTTGACTATTAATTAGTGGAGAAGAGAAGAGGGTACTGGTTTTATTTTGGATTTAGTTGGTAACTTTGAGTTGTGCCTGTTTCATGCTTAGAAGAATTTTTTGGCATCTAATATTACTGCCAAAAGAGTGGTTATACATAACAAGTTTGCACTAGGAAATTAATTCCCAACTTTATGAAATAATCAGAAATAGTCTCATATCTTTATAGATTAACTTCTTTCTACTTTAGTTAATTTAAAAAATATGTTCATTGATCTCCGTGCTTCTGGTGCATGAGAAACTTATGGATTTTATCAGAGGAATGGTTTGTACCAGAAATAAAAACTCACAAGATGCCAGTCAAAGTACAGTAGATTGTGCCATGTTGGGAAGCACCTGAAGAAACAGAATCATTAAGGAAATTCTCTTGATAGAATCATCACTGGCCTCCAAATTTTGGCATTTTGTTCCTTTGGCTTTAAAAATCACAGTGATTTGAAAGTGAAGGTGCTGTTTATTCCAAGGTATTTTTCATACAACATTTAAATGTGTGCAGTAGGTTGAGTACTTGATCCTTCTGTTGAGCTTAGACCTGAGTAGAGGGAGGGAGAAGGTGTAGAACCCCAAACTTACTAAAAACATGAATGGGATGTGAAGAGTGGTTACTGAAGGTCAGGTTCATAGCTAGCTCCAAAAGTCATCCCAGAACCAGCTGGAAAACTGGCCAAGACGATGCACATGAATTGTATGTGGCAGCAGACCTCATGTCAACATGTTCCCTTTGCACATTGTTGTATTTGTTTTTGTTATAAATTGAATTCAATTAGGAAAGACAAGCTGTCTTCTTCCTCTAGTCCCTATTTTATGACATCTGATAGTTTTCTACATTTGTGTTAATGACCTGGCCCCTAGAGTCAGTGTAGTTTGCAGACCTCACTGTGGAGGCTGTGTCTGGTTCTAGGTGCTGTGAGTAGTAGTTGTATCTTTGAAAATATGCTTTGGAATAAACTATTCTGGTCTGGTTTGAACGTGTTGTGTAAAGTTCATGTCAGAAACAGTCCTCAGTACAGGACACTGTTGGCAGGTGGAATGGCAGTGCGGGCAGCCCTCTTGCTCACAGTTGCCCTTTCTGGGTGACTTCACTATAGGGTGATGCAGCATAAGGACCCTCGCCAGATTCCAGGCCATGCTCATGGACTTTCTAGAGCCCCAAACCATTAGCCACATAATTCTCTGCTCTTTATAAATTACACAATCTCAGTTACTCTGCTATAGCCAGAGAAAAGGGACTAAGATAGAAAATAGGTACTGAGAAGTGGGACTGTTTCTATAACAAATAATTGAAAATGTGGAACCAGTTTCACCACTAAGTACTGCATAGAAGCTGGAATGGTATTGAAGGGAATGCTAGAAAAATCCTGTATTGCTACACAGAGCCCTCTGGTGAGAACTCAGAAGAAGAAAATAACTGACCAGAGAAAATCTGAGACTTCTGAGAGAGTACTTAAGTAGTCATGGTCACAGTTCTGCTGGGAATACAAACAGTGAAAGCTGTTCTGATGAGGTTTCAGTCAGAAATGAGAAACAAGGGTACTGGAACCTGAAGTCAAGGCCTTGCTTTTTAAACAGTTGCATAGATCTTGGTAGAAATGTCTATATCGTAGGACTTTGTGGAAGGTAGAATTTAAGGGTGATGTATTTGATTATCTAATAGAAGAAAATTTTAACCAAAAGATTGAAGAAGCTGTGTAGCTACTTTTAACCACATACAGTAAGATGAAAGAGGAGAGAAATTATTTAAAGATAGAGTTTATAATTAAAAGGGAAGCAGAGCAGAAAGACTTGGAAAAGTTCCAGGTCATATAAAGAATGAAAATGCTGGGCCGGCGATTTAGCTCAGTGGTTTCGCCGCCTGCTGCGCAAGCGCAAGGACCCGAGTTCGATCCCCTTTACAAAAAAAAAAAAAAAAGAATTAAAATGCTTCTTTAGCAGAGTAAGCCATAGGTGTAACTAAGCCACCATTTGCTAAAGAAATCACCATGTGTAGAAGGAACCATCAGGACAGTAGGACAGAGACCCCAGTGTCACTTTGGAGAACTTCAAAGCGGCCCCTTGCATCACAGTGCCAAAGCAGTCCTTGAGGGCAAAATTTCCAGAGCAGTACCCACAGGTTTTTAGCATTTGCTGCCCTGCACTGCCACATGTGAAGCCCAAACCCTGGGACAGCACCCCTCCACCACCCAGCCATGGTGCAGGCAACCCAGCTGAAATGAAGCCCTCTGCTTAGAAGAAGCGAGCTGTAAAACTTGGCAGGATCCATGTAGTGCTGATTGAGCCATTGTGTAGAGTACGATAGCTGTGCGAGCATGGCTTCCTGGACCTTAATTGCAAAACTCAGAGACTTGTTACAGCATAGGCCACTGCCGAGAGTTCCCACTAAGGAAATGTCTAGTGAAGCCTCAGGGACAAAGCCGCCCTCTGGATCCCCAAAC